TTAATTTATTCATTTAAAGATGTAAAAACTCTTTCAAACAATTTACACTTTTTAGATCAGTTTTTAGCACTCAAATCCAGTGCTCTCTCCATTCATTGGGCTGATATGATCAGAGACAGCATGTTGGTTTCCTATTGCTGCTGTAGCAAAGGACCACAGCTTAGTGCTTCCTGCAGCACACATTTATTTGTTTATTTATCACAATTCTGGAGGTCAGAAGTCTTAAATGAGCAGGGCTGTGTTCCATGAACTGGCTTTTTCCAGCATCTAGAAGCTGCCCACATCCCCCTGCTTGTGGCCCCACATCACACCAGCCTCTGCTTCTGTCACCATAGCTCCCACATCCAGCTCTGACCTTCCTGCCTTCCTCTTAAAAGCATCCTTGTGGTTACATTTGGTCCACCTGGATAACCCTGGACTATCTCCCCATCGCAAGGTCTTTAACTTAATCTCATCTGCAAAGTCTCCTTTTGCCATTTAAGGTAACATATTCACAGTTCCAGGGATTAGGATGTGGGCATCCTTGGGGGCCATTATTCTGTCTACCACAGATAGTAATTTCTACTTCACAGAAATCTAATGGGAATTTTTAAAAGATACATATTCTTGTCATATGCCTTCACAGGCTTTAGAACATTTCCTATACAATAGAAATTACAGACCAGTTTGAGATTAAATACTACTTAATACACTTTGGATTTTATACAGCAAAATTTTATACTTCCTTTACATAAATTCCTACATATAATATTGGAAAAGCATTCTAGAAAGTACTACAGGTAATATACTGCTTCTTTTTGGAAGAAACTCTTTACCAATTTTCTATCAAGTCTTTGTTACTGTCTTGCAAAGTGAGTATTTTAGGTATATATCATTATACTTCATGAATTTTTTAAAAGCACAAGAAAAAGTGACTACATATAAGGCCACACAGCAAATCCGAGAATAGACACAGGTAGTGGTTAGAGCTTCCAGTTGGAGATTTGGGTTCATTATCTCTTCTGCTCAACAACTGTATCTTGATATGTGACGACTGCTACCAAGTCTTGGAAAGATTAAAGCGCGTTTGAGTGTGTGATAGCTCCACAGCCCCAGCTTCACGAAAACTAAAACGTAACAGAGAAGTTCTGTGGGGTTTTAGTCTGTCGGAAGTAGGCAGTGTATGTGGTTACTGGAACTTATCTGCTGTCTTGCTCAATTATCCTGTCAAAGGTGCTGCTATTTCCTGTGTTTAAACTTTTCCATGATGTCATTCAGAGGCCTTAGACCACCCGCTCCCAGCGGTGTGTGCTGCTGGACAATTGTGGTTCTTAACCGAGCACTGAAAATGGCAGTGACCCGAAACCAACAAGTATCGCCAAAAGGGAAGTCGTTTTGTAAAATCAGAAACTGAAACTTTCAAATCTGCATATATTAAGTAGCTTAATGTAGTATATTAATTTTTAACCTTTAGAATATCATTAAAAAAGAAATTATTCTCCAGTTTATAAGTGTCACTTTATTGTAAAGTGACTTTTACGATAAAAAAAATTGAAAAAAACATTTACACAATATAAAAGCGAGTGACTGCGGGGGCGGAGGGTAGGGGGAGAGGCACCGCGAGCGACTGGGACGAGGCGTCGGGAGACGGCAGCTCCCGACCCGGCAGCGGGTTTCGAACCCAGCGATGGTCTGAAGCACTGACGCAGCCGGCGCCCACCGCCGAGTTTGTCTGGGATCCAGAAAGAAACTCGCACACTGACGGTCAACTTTGGTGTCCTCTTCGTGGCTCCACATTTAGCTGGTTGCTCTTTCGAATGTCGTCGCTGATTCCTGTGCCCGTCCCAGCTCTTCTTCACGCCCCTTCGTTGCTGCAGTGAGGTTCTCCTTTTTCTTCTTCTTCCTTGTTCTTCTTCCTTTTTTTTCTTTTTCAACTCCGATATATGTTTATGAATCCTCAGCGTCTCTTCTGTTCGTCAGCGTGGTATAATGGTGTTTAGCATCAGAACAAAGCATTAATGCCCAGCATAGAATGACATTATTTAAACTTGGAAACCCCTTATTTCAGTGTGCCTAATACAACTTGTTTCTGTGTGAGTTCCTAGGTTTGTTTGAACCTGTGAAGATCCAGCCCAGAGTGAGAAAGCAGCCTCTGCTCCACCGCGCTAGGGCCGTGTTCTCCACCAGCCCTTCATCTGGAGAAGTGTCGCTAGAATAGCACGGCAGCCCCTCTCCTACGGGGCAGCCTCTGCTCCACCGAAATCTGGGCTGAGCCTCCACCGCCAGAGACATTCCCTGGCATTGTGCTGGGAAGAGAACATTGCCCATCGAAGGTATTCTTGGGCCTTTGCATTTCCATATAAATTTATAAGCAGTGTGACAACCTCACCACCAAAAAAAACTGAGAAACCAAAACCTAGTATTTAGGATAGCATTGAACTAAAGATCAATTTGGGGGAGATTAACATTATAATACTGATTCTTATAAACCATGAACATAATATATCCCTCCAATATCTAGATTATTTTAAATACATACTAAACCCCATTTTCTGAATATTTACTATATGCCAGGCACAATTAACACTCTACATAAATTATTTAATTGTCACAATAATGCTGAGAAGTAGGTACTAGTATTATTTCCATTTCACAGATGGAGAAACTGAAGCTTAGCAAGATTGCCAAAGGCCACGGTTAATAAGAGGTGGGAATCCTGACACTCTGCCTGCGGATCTACAGCTGTCACGCCTTGTGACACAACCTCCCTGAGCTGCTGGCTGAGGGATGGGGGGTGGATGGGTTACCCAAGGGAAGGCAGACTTGGAGAGAATGTGTTCTCTCTCTACCACCCAGCATCTGTCTACCTGAATACATAATGATTTATCCAAATAGCAACTGTCTAGCACTCTCGGAGGCGGATGTGGGAGGATCCCTTGAGCTCAGGAGTTCGAGACCAGCCTGAGCAAGAGAGAGACCCTGTCTCTACTAAAATAGAAAAACTAGCTGGACGTCGTGGCACATACCTGTAGTCCCAGCTACTCAGGCGGCTGAGATGGGAGGATCACTCGAGCCCAGGAGTTGGAGGTTGCTGTGAGCGAGGCTGACGCCACGGCACTCTAGCCTGGGCAACAGAGTGAGACTCTGTCTCAAAAAAAAAATCCCCAAAACCAAATAGCAACTGTTTTTCTTCTCCCATTTCAGCCTTTACACAGGAAGACCCTCTAAAGAGCTGCCTGCCAGCTGCCCTTCCCCAGATCCCAGATATATTCCCAGCCAGGTAGAGCAGAGAACAGTCACTCAGCTGGTGATGCTGAGCTCATACCCGGTAAGTGTGACCACACTACACAGATCTGGGTTTAGCTAGAAACCAGCCCCAGTCACAATGGTGTCTGTCCCTAATCCCATGAGGGGTGTAGGAGCCATTCCGGGAGTCTACCTACTGGGACTGAGGGTAGGGTAAGTACAGCTTTTGTGATTCTCTCTCTCTGCCCCTTGTAGGATGGCTGTCCCCGGAGGTCAAGACTGGGTCTGCTCCCTTCTCCCACTTTACCAATGCCTGATCTCACAGGATTAGTTCTGAGCCCAACTCCATGGCGTCATCGACCTCCCTCCCAGCTCCTCGCTCCCGGTCCAAGAAGCCTCTGGGTAAGATGACTGGTGAGTGGAACCAGACTCCTAGTTCCGCTCTTGTTCCTGAGAGCGTTGTCCTCATCTCCGCGTGGGCAAGGAGGGGGCCTGCCTGTGCAAACGCGGGGTGGATGTGGGGGGGCTGATGAGGGGCGAAGCTCCCGACCTGCAGTGCCCAATGCTTTGTGGAGCAGGAGGGGGGAGGCCTGCGTCAGTCCAGTCTTCATCCTTGTGTTCCAGAGGTTTTCCAGGCCTGCTCAACTAATTTTCCTAGCCTGGAAACCACTGTGCTGAGTGCTTATTTAGATCTGTGTTCCAGAACCATTCAGAGGAAGGAGCCAAGCAGAGAGAGGAACTATCAGTTCTCACA